GAACACATGAACTGTCGTACAACTTTCTAGCAGTCTTTCGCCAAATCAATTTTCGAACCCTTTTTAACCGTTCTTAATTTCATTGGAACTGCCTGTTGTTGCATATTTGGTCTGCTTACATGCATTTTGTAGAGCATGGGCGGGTCATTTCAGTTATCTTATGGCATATCTTTGTTTATTTCCAACAAAATGTACGTGGTATCACGGCTCCTCATTAAAACTTTCGCCTGGCTGAAATATAAACACTTGTATGGTTTCTTTGACGTCTTTTTTTCTGATCATGTTTGTTGGTTTTTTTATTTCAGTTTTCTGCCGATCTTGTTATTTAGAAACGAAAATGCCATACACGACAGGCAAATTTGTTTTGAGTTTAAACCGAGCGACAGGTTTTGTCAGGATTCACTGTAACAACTTACACTTTAGTATTACCATGGAGGTAGAAAAGAGATCTCTTTTCTACCTCCATGGTATTACTGAAAGTATCGACAGAGACACAATAAAATGGCGTGCAGTTGTTGATTGCAATGAACTCTGGGGAAAATGACGTCATATTTGCGTGATTTCCTGTCTACATTTTATGTTAATGATTTATCACAGATTAGTACGTCTTTTGTTTCAAATGTTTACCCGCGACACGCATCCAATGAAAAGAACATGATTCGTTTCCTAACCGTCTTTTTAGTAACCGTGGGTGGATCTTAGACAACTTATCAGTTGTCTGAGAGTGGAAGTACGACATCTGTTACACGGCAAGCCAAAATACTATTATGTACTACGCTCATGTCTGTCATGTCTGAAGTCGCCGTACGGACATTTTCAGTTAACATGTGGAGACGTAAACATAGACTTGCACACAGTCACTTGTTTATTTACTGCTGTTTTCTCAATAACATAAAATGTTATGGAGTGTAAATGGCGAAAGCCGAGTTACCGTTTTTGCGCCATACACTCCCATTAAACTTTATTCTATTGAGAAAACAACAACAAATAATCAAGGCACTGTATTATGTTAACATAGATTCAGTCCCTTCCTTCCTGGCTTCCATAAAGTCACACATCCTCCACGTGGGAGAGAGGTACAAACTTCTCAATTATTTTTTCTCAAAATGCAACTGTCAATGACATGCAAACACAGTTAACAAATTATTACTCTTATATGGCAACATTACCCCCAGATTGTGTTATCTTTAGAAAGTTGAATGTGTCAAATTACTACTATGGAATCCCTTGCGGTTGCACTACTTTTACTAAGCTGAGGACCCCAAAAATTGTTAAAGTTCACTTCTCTCTACAGGATATATTATTAAATGTTTATACAATATTTTTCTAATCAAAATGTTCACCAATTACCGGTATGGCACACCTATGGACTGTAAATGTAAGTATGACGCTGGCCTATAGTATCAACATGGTAGGTGGAAGGACCTTTCTACCTTTCATGGTATCAATCACTGATGAAATTAAAACCAATCATCGCAACAGTTGGCTGTTGAATACATGTACCTTATTTCGCATGCTGGCGCTCAACAATAAACTTATGTTTCCAATATCAGACCACGCGCGAACGTAACACAAATGGTACTACAATTCACGCGATACAGAACCGTTTCTTTGTGCTCACTGAGTCGATCTGCGGCATTTGTCCTCCACGTATGCCAGGACGCCAGACTCCCAGGGATCCGGCCCTGGTTTGTTGCGGCCCTGATAAAAAAAAGACGTTCCGGCCCCAAAACAGTTTGGTCGATCCGGCCCTGGTATAAATTATATTCAATACGTGTTCATATCTAATGTTAATATATTGAATGCACAACGAATGCTTGACTATCTTGTTTAACAACTCATTTTTCGTCTTTTGCAGGGCATTTTCACGATTTCACGCCATATTTTTGTCATGAATTTGTTTTCGCGTATCTGTTGACCGACTTAATTAACTGATTATTAGCTGAATTGCTGTATTATGTCTGTCATCGTTTAGGTCTATTTGATGTTTTGGACGGAACTTGGCTCAGTGATTTGGAACTAATTACAAGATACCGTCGCTATTCTGACATCCACAGTTATTAATGTAGTGAACGATTAATCGATAGATATGACGTATTCAGTACTTAGTGTGATTGGCTTTATGATTGAAGGTTACGCCTTAGAGTCTTTTTACTGCTTTGTAATTGGTTAGAGTTTTGAAAATGAATAAAGAGAGTTTGAGTTGGTCTTGGCGAATACTCCACGACAGACGCAGCCTTGGGCAGTCGAGTCCAGTCGAAAGTCCGAGAGAGTCCAGGGGCGAGCCTTGAGGCAGTCCAGTCTTGGGCGAGTCTTGGTTCAACCTTGCGATAGTCTTGGGGACTTTTCCCCAGGGCGCTGTGTCTTATAGAGTGCTCTAGAAGATCGACTAAGACGAGAGCTGAAACGTATTTCGTTGTGTGTGTCTTATTTGACTCTAAAGTTAAAGTGACTTTCCCGATCCCGTACCTCAAGGGGACGAGATATAGAGACGAGACGAGTTCCCCCCCTGACAAGTGTGGAGAACCCGAGAAAAAGAAGATTTTACCCCTGATATTTTACACAATGCAACAGATGTTTTTTTTTTATTTTCTCGCCGCCACCTTTGTGCTAAGCACCATATGGCCCGAGTGATTGACACTGTGCACGTAGATCCGTTTTAGTCAGGGTTTGAATACACATTTGTGGTTTGTCACGTAATGAATTAAGAACGATAATCAACAGAGGAAAAGAATGTAGAAGGCAGACAAAATAGTTTTATTGGTCTTTCAGTAAATAAACAAATAAACTGTTTCTTTGCACGTTGTGCTTCTGGTTGTTGAGAAATACATTTTAGTTCTCACAGGGTCCGCATTTGTGTGGTTCGTTTGAATGTGTTTCCATGGGGAATTGCGTGAATAAATTAAGAGCAGAAATCGGAATGTAACAATGTAGCAAGATGCTTCACTCTGTTGCCATGTTAAATGTTCGACTTTTTGTACTAAAAAGTAATCGTGATTATACGCTAAATTACAAACAATGGCCTTCGATTGGCGGCAGATCATTGTTGAAAGAAAAAAATTCACGGCTAAAAGAAGGTGTTAACAAGTGAGTACTTGACTGACGATACCGCGCATGTACGTACTAAGTGGTCAATATTATGAACATTGTCGTCCCATGTTACGGTACGTCGCATTATATCAGTCCCACTGATAATAAAATAAATCGTCCCATGTTACGGTACACGTTGCATTATATCAGTCCCACTGATAATAAATAAATCGTCACATGTTACGGTACGTCGCATTATATCACTCCCACTGATTATAAAAAAAATTCAAACTAGGCAACAATGAGTCAGGTGGCGCCTGATGATACCACACTACACCGCATGTACTGGTAATGGGGACCATGAAAGGTACTAACGGAAGGAGCCACGACGCCTATCAAGTGGCCACTTAAGCCTCTTAATTGGCTTATTTCCTAACTATAACAAGATTTCGAGTGCATACAACAACAATTCCTAAGGACTCCTAAGAAATATTATCACAGAGAAAGTGTCGAGGCATGCTCTTCTCTCGATACTATCTTTTCTGTTGGTGTTCGCCGATGTCCGGTGGTAAAATAAATATGGGCAAAGCATCATACGATCAGTACGCAGCCGGCCACTATTTTTGACATCGTCAGTGTTATGTATTTTTTTTACAACTAAGTTGTTTATTCCAGAGTTCGTGCTTTTTCACATAATTTTTTAATCAGGAATTCTGCATAAGGTCATATTTTAGCCGGCGAGTAGTTCTTTAATTCATCTATTTTACCAGCAACGACACATTTTCGCAACAAATTTTCATACCTTTACCCAGATATTTGTCGTTTTTGATTTTGGGGTGATTGAAATGAACTCTATTTTATTTACCATACTTCTCGGCGCGGAACCAATATTTGTCTTCGATTTTGACATTTTATGATCGAAACATTAAAAATTGGTGGGCTGATTTGTTATTTGTCACACCGCATTTTATTAATGTTAAATTGAGCGAATTTTATGGTTGATTTTTAGATCGTAAATGAAAATGGCGACGTTTTGAAATGACAATGTACTTAAGGTAGCGAGAAGGTTTTGTGACGTTTTTAAATAAAACATTCTCTGTCTGTTGTCTCGTTCAGAACAGTAATTTAGGTTATATATATCAAAAGACTAAGTATAGAGGTGCAAGTTCGCACAAACTGGACAGACATTGTTTACATAATTATCACGTGACATCAAAAATGGCGAACCTTGTAAAAATGACTCAGTACGCGATTGCGAGAGCACACTGCGGAATTCCCTGGTGAAATTTAAGTTATGCATTGTCCGTAATCAAGTCCATTGAAATGCGTCCCCGATAATCAAAAGACCTATTATTCCGATTTCTATGCAGGTTTGTTTTTTTGTCCCCAAATTATTTCATACTTGGCACCTTTAACAGACTATTATTCTGTGACAAAGCATTTTCTTTAAAAACCCAGACATATGTCGCACCATCA